ACTCAGTTTCCATGCATTCACTCTTTTTCCTTTGGTCTTCCTAGTATTGATTCTAATTTTATAGCATTGTGATCTGAGAAGATGCTTTGCAATATTTCAGTGTTTTTGAATTTTTTGAGGCCGGTTTGTGGCCAAACATATGGTCTATTCTGGAGAATGTTCCATGTGTGCTGGAAAAGAATGTATATTGTGCTGTTGTTAGCTAAAGTGCTCTATAGATGTCTGTAAGGTCAAGTTGGTAGATTGTACTGTTTAGTTCTTCTGCATCTTTGTTGAGTTTCTTTCAAGTTGTTCTATCTTTCATTGAAAGTGGTGTATTAAAGTCTCCTACTATGACTGTGGAGTCATCTTTATGTCGTTTCAATTCTGTTAAAGTCTGATTTATGTTTTTTGGTGCTCTTTCATTGGGTGCATAGGTATTTATTATGCGTTCTGGTTCCCTAGTGCTGCTCTGACAGAAATATACCACAAACGGGATGGCTTAAACGATCAGGAGTTTATTCTCACAATTTGGAGGCTTTAAGTCCAAGTTCAAAGTGCCAGGCTCTAGGGGCTGGGTGAAAGCCCCTCAACTTTGGGATCCAGCTCTGCCTCCTTCTTGGCCCACGGGAGCTAGAGGCATTTCTTCACTCAGCCAGCCAGCCGCAGGCTGCTGAGGCTGAGAAGCCCCAAGGTTGACAAGTCAAAAGGCACAGTCCTGATGTTACCAAGCCACACACAGCAGGCCATTAACTTAAGTCCATTGTATGTCCCAAGGTCAGCAGAGCATAGCAGGCTGCTGAGCAATGACATGGGTACATGCAGGGTCCAAGCATGCCAAAGGCTAGAGACCATTCTCAAAGCTTCTCCTTATATACAGGAAGCAGGCCACATACCCAAAGGCAGCTACCCAGCTGCTCGTGGTAGATCCCACCACACCATGGAGCTGATTGCCAGTCTCCTCATAGGGATTAACTACCACCAACTGCTCAGCCACCCAACCAGGCCCAGCCAAGTTGACACACAAACCAAACTACCACATTATGGTTATGTCATCTTGTTCAGGCGATCCTTTAATCATTATATAATATCCTTCCTTGTCTCTTATGGTGGTTTTTGTCTTAAAGTCAGTGTTATCAGAAATTAATAGTCACTCCTGCTTTTTTATTTTATTTTATTTTATTTTTTGATTGCCATTTGCTTGATACATCTTTTTCCAACCTTTGATTTTTAGTCTGCTTTTGTCTTTGTCTCTAAGGTGTGTCTCTTGTAGGCAGCATATTAATGAGTTACGTTTTCTTATCCAGTCTGCAGCTCTTTATCTCTTGAGTGGTGCATTTAATCCATTGACATTCAGTGTAATTATTGACAAGTATGAATTGATTTCTGTCATTTTGTTACCTGCTTTTTGTGGTATTGCTGATTTCTTTGTTCCATATAATTTTCTGTGCTGAGTTCATATTGTTTATTAATTGTGTTATCTCCTTCATTGCTATTTTTTTTTATTATTTCTTAAGTATTTGTGCATCTCCTCGTTTTTATTTTGTTGCAAAGGTTTATTATTTTTCTTTAAGGCTACCCTTTGATTTATAAATTTCTTCCAAAGTTTAAAACAGTCTGTTCTGTCTTCCAATTGTCTTGACTTCTTCACCACTTAGAAGTTCAGTAACTACACTATTCTTTCTCTCTCTTTGGTTTGTAGTTGTCCTCATTTACCAATTGATGTCTCTCGTTCACTTTTTACAGTCTTGTAAGCTTATTTTACTTTGGATACTTCTATAACTGGGTTGATTTCTGGGTTATGTCATTATGTGTGTTAATCATTGTTGTTTGCTGTTGTTGGTTCTCTGTCTGAAGGACTCCCTTTCACATCTCTTGTAAGGTTGGTCTAGTTTGAACAACTTCCCTTAATTTCTGCTTATCTGGAAATGTCTTAAGTTCACCCTCGTATTTGAGGGACAGCTCTTGCTGGGTATATAATTCTTGGTTGGAAATTTTTTTCCTTCAGAGTTTTATATATACCATCCCATTATCTTCTTTCCTGAATGGTTTCTGCTGAGAAATCAGAACTTAGTCTTATTGGTTGCCCTTTGTAGGTAGCTTTTTGTTTTTCCCATATTGCTTTCAGGATCCTTTCTTTGTCTTTGGTTTTGATGAATTTGGTTATGATGTGTCTTGGTGATTTACTGTTGGGGTCTATCCTATTTGGGGTTCATTGAACTTCTTGAATGGATATATTCTCATCTTTCATCATATTAGGGAAATTCTCTTCCAAGAAATATTTAGCAGTTTGCTCATCTTGTTCTGGAATTCCAATTACATGTATGTTATTCCTCTTAATGGTATCCCACATGAATCTTAGGATTTCTTCATTTTGTTTTGATCTTTTGTGTGATAGAACCCTTAACAAAGTAGTATTGAGGTATTTGTCTTCAGTCTCATTAAATCTGTCTTCCATTGATTCAGTTATACTCCTTTGCCCATTCAATGTGTTATCCATTTCTGAAATCTTAGTATTAATCTTCTGGATTTCTATTTGTTGTTTTTGTATCATTTCTTATTTTTTTGTTTCTTTTGTCAGTTTGTTCTTGTGTTGTTATCCTAAGTTGTTCTAGAGTTTTGTCTATGTTTTCCTTATTTTAGTCAGTGTTTTCCTTGATCTATCTGTCATTCCATTGAAGGTACCCAAATACAATTCTTTTGAATTCCTTCTCAGGGAGTTCCAATGCTGATGCTACCTCAGGGATATTTTCTGGGTTTGTATCATGTTCCCTTATTTCTCCTACTTTATTTCCCTTCTTTGTGTGGACTGTGATGGTCTGTTGTCTCCGAAACATTGTGATGTTGTTGTATTTATGTTTAATTTGTGGTTGGATGTTGCTGTGATTCATACAGGATTTTTTTTCCTTTTGTTTTATTTTGATATATCTGTGTGAGCAGGGTACTGTGCTCCTCTATTCACTAGTTGTTAGCACTGAAGCACTCACCACCTGTCTCCTGCTGGGTGTGATAGAGAATGAGTGTGTGCACAGATCTCTGTTAGCTGTTTGTAAAGGGCAGTTGAGGGTGAGTTGAGCTGGTAATGGCCACTTGCTGTCATTGGTCAGTTGGTGCAAAAGCAAGTGGTGGCCCTCACGCAGTGAGTGGGGCTGCAGGAGGTGCAGGTATGCTTGGGTTGTGCAGGAACAGTTGCTATCTCCCACTTTTATATACACACACACACACACACACAAGAACAAAAAACTCAAGCTGCATGAACAGGAACAATCACACACACAAAAAGAAATGAAATAAATAAGAAGAAAAAATTCCAAAATATATTGTTTTAAAAGGATAAAAGAAAAATAATGAGAAAAAGAAAGAAAGGAAGAAAGAAACACGATGTCTGGGGAAGGAGAAAGGAGAGAAAAGAGCAAGAGAAAAAGAATTGTATAGGAAAACTACAGAAGGAAAAGTAAGAGATAGGAAGAACCAATGTTGTTGTTGTTGTTATGTGCCGTCGAGTCAACCCTGACTCATAGCGACCCCTCCTTGGGTTTCCGAGGCAGTATCACTACGGAAGTAGGATTGCCCAACCTTCCTTCCGAGGAAGAACCAATAGAGAAAAAGGGGAAGCGAGCAAGAGGGAAGAGGAAAAAAAAAAAAGACAGGGACAGGAAATGGGGGGGAATAAAAGGAAGGAAGGAGGAAGATAAAAAGAAAAATTAAAAAGCAAAAACAAAACTCTGGGGGGCGGAGCATAGCACCCAGGCTCTTTCAGGACACAGACTGGATGGAATTCCTGCTGGTCAAGGAGGTGGATGGAGGCGGAGGATGGCCACACCTCTGTTCACCAAGTGTGGGGCATAAGAGTAACAAGGGGAATATTGTACTTTTCTGGTCATCAGCCTCCAGTGCAGTTGTCCATGCCATCCTTGCCATGCGGAGCCTATTCTTAGGTCCCTGTTCTGGTAAGAATGGCACTTGCCTATATTCAAAATGGCTGCACCCGCTACTTGTAAATATTCAAAATAGCTGCACCCTCAGAACAGCCCCTGCAGTCCACAGGTCTGTTTGTCTCCTTCTTTGCTGTTTTCCTTTCTAGTCGTCAGGCACCAATGCAGTCCTTGCCCATGCAGTTTTTAACGAGAAGAGCCAATTCTTAGATTGCTACTGGGAAATATTAAAAATGGCTGTGCCCTTGGCACAGCCAAAAGTCCACCACTCCATTTGTCTCTTACAAACTGTTTTCATTCAGGGTTCCAAGATCATCTTCTGTATCAATTTTAATTGGTTTCTCACTGCTTTGCTGTAGAGGGTCTGTGTAGCTTGTCTGCCTATTCCACCAGAACTCCCCCCTAAGTTTCTTCTTTTCAACTTATCCTCACCAGACTAGTCTGGGGTTACTGGAGGAGTTTTGAAATTTTCTGTTGAGTTTGGTGTAAGGAACAGAGACCCCATACTCTTATTTGATGGTGAAACAGGGTCTTTTGGCTTTCAGGGCATAAGTAGCCCCCAGCTCTGACCAGAGGTGGATAGCCATCAGTTTCCTGATACTCCTGAGGCCTTGTCCCCTGTTAAGTCCCTGCTCCAGGGTCTCAACACAGATGTCCACTTCTTACAAGCTTCTCCTCCTTGCAGGTCACGTAACATCTCTGTCCTCATTGCCCACTTAAGACTCCCTGCATAGTGGCTAAAGCACTTGACTGCTAACCAGAAGGCTGGCGGTTCAAACCCACCAGCCACTCCTCGGAAGGAAGGTTGGGCAATCCTACTTCCGTAGTGATACTGCCTCGGAAACCCAAGGAGGGGTCGCTATGAGTCGGGGCCGACTCAATGGCACACAACAACAACAACAACAACGTACCCACCTGGCCCCTGTATTTTCAGGAGCCCTTTGCTTTCTTTGCAGGACCTGTGAGGTGGCACTTTCTAGAGAGTTCTTTTTCTTCTCTTATCTGAAGAGACTAAGGCTGGCTGTGCTCAGGAAGAATTCAGGCCTTAACCAGAGTAGTCCTGACCCTCTTCTTTCCCACAAACAGGATTTTCCTTTCCCAAACCGAACTTGGTGTCTCAGCTGGAGCGAGGGGAGGGGCCCTGGCTAACTAACACCCACAGAATGGGGACTGGAGGAATGACTCCTGGAGGTGAGTGAGGGTGCTCAGAAGACCTGCATGAGGCATGCTGGAAGAGGAAGGTGCTGCATCTGGGTGGGGAATGCTCTTTAATGGTAGATTTCAGTCTCCCCATCAAGGTACTGGGTGAAGAGAAGCCTCCCTCTGGCTGTCTCCTTATAGTAGCATCTTCCTCCTGTCCTGTCTTCCTACCATCCCTAGTTCTTCTGGCTCACTCCACCACCTCCCCTTTTCTGTCTTCTCTGCCCTCCTCAATGGTTTTCCCCTCTCTAATCATCTTCCCACATGCCTTTGTTTCCTGGTTCACTTCTCCTTTGCCACTTACTACTCTGGCTTGGTGTAAGAGGGAAGATGGAGAACAAGATGCCAAATAGACACCCAGGGAGGTGGTGACATTGGTTGGTGTTCACTGTCTTTACAGGTGACAGGAGCAAGACATCTATTTCAGAGCAGAAACATTCTAGAAAAGAACTGCCTGGGGCTGGGCTGCAGGGTGGCAATGAGGATCAGTTAGCGAGGCTGTGGGAGAAAACACTTGAGCCTAAGCAGAAACACACGTGTTCTCTGAAGACATGTCCCAGGAGGAGTGACCATCCCAGGGAGAGAGGCCAAGGCAGCTCTGAGAATGAGGAACACTCAGACTTCAGTCAGCAGTGGAGAGCAGCCACAGGAGAGACCATCACACAGAGAGATAACCACAGTGGCTCTAGGCTAGCTCCAGGCCTCAGACAGCAGTGTTCCAAAGGCAGAGACAAACACGTATGCCAGCGGTGTGGAAAATCCTTTAGCCGAAACTCCAATCTCATCAAGCACCAGATCGTCCACAGCAGTGAGAAGCCCTTTGCCTGCCCTGAGTGTGGGAAACTCTTCCGGCGCAACATTGCACTCCTGGAGCACCGGCGCATCCACAGT